CCCCATCCTGTCCCCCCCCCTGCTGCTCCCCATTTTGCGTCCCCCCCGCCTGCCCCCAGTGCCACCCCCCGCCCTGTTCCCCCCTGTGTCACCCCCGCCCGTGCCCCCAATGCCGCCCCTCCTCTCGATGCTGTCCCCCCCCGCGCCGCGCCCCCTCCCGGCCCCGCCTGAGCATCAAGTGAGGGGGTTCCGGCCACCTCCGCGCCCCACCAGGAACCCCCGGCGGCGGTGGTGAGTGAGGGGCGATGAGGGGGACCCCCCTCTTTAATGAGCCTGCAGAAACTGAGGCACGGAAAGGGAGGTTTCACGGTGGGGGTACTGGGAGGGCAGGTCACCAGGGGGGTTTCACGGCGGGGTTTTGCGCGGGGGGGTTTTCTCGAAGGTCTTTGCACGAGGTCTCTGGGGGCGGGGGTCCCCACAAATCCCCCATGGTGTGTCTGGGGGGGTTTCTTTGGGGTGGGAATGCCGAAAACCCCCCGTGGGGGGGTACTCCGGAGGGTAGTTGGGGGTCTCCATAATCCTCCGTGGCTTGTCTGGAGGGTCCCTGTGGCAGGGTGTCTCCGTAACCCCCCGCGGCGCCTCCGGGACTCTCTTTGGACACCTGTGGGGAGGGGTCCGTGTGTGGGGGCGGGGGTGGGGTGTGCTGCTCTGTGTCACGTGACATGAGCCAAGATGGCGGCGTCCATGGGGACAGGAAGCGGAAGTGGCTCCGCGGAGGCGCCGTGGGGCAGCTGCGGCTCCGCTGGGGACCGGGGGTATGGGGTCCCTGAGGGGTCCGGGGTATGGGGTCCCTGAGGGGTCCGGGGGTATGGGGTCCCTGAGGGGTCCGGGGGTATGGGGTCCCTGAGGGGTCCGGGGGTATGGGGTCCCTGAGGGGTCCGGGGGTATGGGGTCCCTGAGGGGTCCGGGAGTTGCCGGAAGCGGTGGAAGGGCTTTGGAGGGTCTGAGACGTGTCTGGGGCGTCCTACGGGGCAACTCTGGGGTCGGGGGAGGCTATGAGGAGTGGAGGGGGGCTGTGTGGGGCTGTAGGTGGTATATGGGGGGCTTAAAGAGGATCTGAGGGGGCGAGGGTACTATGGGGGGTGCGGGGGTTCTATGAGGGCCCTATGGGAAGTCTATGGAGATCCTGTGCAAGGCCTGTGGAGGATCTGGAGCGTGTGTGTGGGTCCTCTTGGGGGGTATGGGGGTCTGTGGGAGGTTGTGGGGAACTAGTGGGGTTTGGGGTCCATGGGGGTTCTGTGGGGTTGGGTGGCGTCTGTGTGGGCTTGGGAGGGGTGGTGTGGCCTATGGAGAAGTTGTGGGGGATTGTGTGGTGTATCTGTGATGCTGGGGGTCCATATAACTTACCATGGTTTGTTTTAGGGGCTGGGGGTCCTTATAACCCTCCATGGATACCCCTTTTTCCTTCCCCAGGCCCTTCTGAGCCCACTCCCCACCATGTTTCTGCTGCCTTGCTCCGCCCTCGCCCTCCTCCTGCTTACCTTCCTGGCTCTGGAGTCACCCCCGCGCCGCCCCTCACCCTCCAACCCTGCGTTCTGCCGCTTCCAGCGGGAATTCCTGCTGGGATACCTCCCAGCGCTGGCTGCGGACTGGCTGCAGGGCCCACTGCTGTTCCAGCTGCTGCATAGCCGAGGCTTCCTGCGCAGCCAGATCGCTGCCCTCTACTCCTGCGGCTTTGCCTCCAACGTCACCTTTGGCCTTGTCTCTGGAGCTTTTGTGGATCGGCTTGGCCGGAAAAAGTCCTGTGTGTTGTCCTCGGGGCTGTGCTCCATTTCCTGCCTGCTGCAGCTCTCCCAGGATTTCCTGGCACTGGCAGCTGGCCGGGTCCTGGCGGGGCTCGGCACCTCTCTGCTCTTCTCTGCCTTTGAGTCGTGGTACATCCATGAGCACCTGGAGCGCCATGACTTCCCAGCCGAGTGGATTCCCAGCACCTTCTCCCGTGTGGCCCTCTGGAACAGTGGCCTGGCCATGGCAGCTGGCCTGGTAGCAGAGCTGGTGGCTGAGGGGCTGGCGCTGGGCCCTGTGGCCCCATTCCTGGTGGCCGTGCCCTTCCTGGCGCTCTCAGGGATCTTTGCTGGGAAAAACTGGGATGAAAACTATGGGAAGAGCCGGCCCTGCAGTAAGGCCTGTGGAGAAGGCCTTCGGGGCCTCCTATCTGATCCGCGGGCGCTGCTCCTGGGGCTGGTCCAGGCCCTCGTGGAGAGCATCCTCCTCATCTTTGCCTTCCTTTGGACACCTGTCCTGGAGCCGCATGGGATCCCACTGGGAATTGCCTTCTCGGGATTCATGGCTGCCAGTGCTGTGGGCTCAGCCCTGTTCCGGCGTGGAGTCACTGGGAGGCTCCGGCTGCAGCCGCTGCAGCTCCTGCCCAGCTCTGTCCTACTCCTGGCGTTGGCTCTTCTGGTCCTGGCACTGCCACTGTACCCACCCTGTGACTTCCTTGCCGTGCTTCTGCTGCAGCTCTCCTGTGGGATTTACTTCCCAGCCATGGCATTCCTGCGGCGCCGGATGGAGCGGGGAGGGGATGCAGCAGGAGGAGCGCGGTGGCTGCGGCTGCCCCTTGGCCTGGGGGTGTCACTGGTGCTGCCAGCACTGCCTGGGGACCCCATGGGGACACGGGGGGTGTTTGGGGCCGTGGCCCTGGCGGCGCTGGTGGCACTGGGAGCAGCTGGGGGGGTCCTGGGCACCACCCGTGGGGATGAGGGGCTGAAGGTAGGGGGCGAGGGGCTGCTCGAGGGGGACACTGGGGAATGACGAGGACATTGGGACAGGGACACTGGGACAGCTCAGCTGGGATGTGATGTGATGGGGACACTGGGACAGTTTGAGGATGTGACAGGAACACTGGGGGTGATGGGGACATGGACACTGAGACAGCTCAGTGAGGACACCAGGGTGTGACTGGGGCAGCTTGACAGGAACACAGGGGTGTAATGGGGATGTTGGGGTGTGATAGGAACAGGGACACCAGGATGTGGCTGGGATACCAGGACAGCTTGGTGAGGACACTGGGGTGTGATAGGAATGGGGATGCTGGGGTGGCACAGGGACACCAGGACGGCTCAGTGAGGACACCAAGGTGCGACAGGGAGACCAGAATGTGACAAGGACAGAGACACTGGGATGTGACAGTGGCAGAAGCACCAAGACAGCTGTATAGGGACACAGGGACAGTTTGATAGAACACTGGGATTTGACAGGGACAAGGACAGTAATACCTGGCTGGGACAGGAATACTGGGATAGCTCAACAGGAACACCAGGGTGTGACAGGGTCAGGGACATGGGAAGAGCCCATGGGGTCACCAGGCAGTGATGGGGTCACAGTGTCACCCCCCATGCTGAACTGTGAGTGACAGAAACTGAGACAGCCAGTAGGGACACTGAGCTGTGGTGGGTCACAGTGTCACCCCACAGTGGACTGTGGGTGACTGGGACGCCTCCTTAGGCCACTGAACTGTGATGGGTCATGGTGTCACTCCACAATGGACTTTGGGTGACAAGACACTGGGGCACCCCACTGGTGACATTAAGCTGTGACAGGTCACAGTGTCACCCCCATAATGAAGTGTAGGTGACAGTGACACTGGGACACCCCAATGGTGACCTGTTGTCACCCCCACAATGAACTCTGGGTCACCGCAAGGTGACACTGAGCTGTGACAGATCATGGTGTTACCCCCATTACAAGGTGACGCCCCCAGGTGACACCCAGGCTGTAAAAGGTCACAGTGCCACCTCCCCCAAAGTGCAGCAGGGGGGACATGGAAACACCAGGCCAGGTGTGGTCTGTGACTGACCCCGTGTGGTGTCATGGGGGGAGGCGTGTGTGTATTAATTACTTAATTCATTTCTAATAAATCCACCCAATAGAGGTGTTTGTGAAGTTGTCCCCCAGCCCCCCAACCCCCAAACCTGGGTCTGGGGGACACTGAAACCCTCTGAAACTGGGGGTGCCCCCAGTTCAAACCAGTGACTCCTAATCCAGCCATGTCCCCAGTGTGACCCTCGTGCTGGTTTGACCCCAAGCTAAGCCCCCTCAGTGCCTCCAGTATCCTCCAATTCTCCCCAGTCCTCCCAAAAGCCCCCCATCCCCCCTATTTTCCAAGTCTCCCCAGTTCCCCCAACTCCGCCTCCATTCCTCACACTTCCCCTCAGTGCCCCCAGTAACTCCTGGCCCCCGAATTCTCCCCAGTTGCTCCCACTGCCTGTAGTGTCCTCCGGGGGGCGCCATTATGCCTCGTGCCCCTATGCCCGCAGCGTCACGTGATCGTGGCGCACGCGCATTCCCCGGAAGGCTCCGCCTCCCGCCCTCTTCAGCATCAGCTTCCAATCGGCACCGTCAGTCGGTGGCGCAGTCGGTGCCGATTGGTCCGCGGGGCGCAGTGGGCGGGCGCAGGGAGGAGGAAGCGAGCGGGACCCGGATGTGAGCGCGGCCCATGGAGGGGGCGGGACCCCTGGTAAAGGGGCATTGGGGGGCCGGGGGGGGGGGCGGCTCTGGGGAGATTGGGAGGTGTGGGGACGTCTGGAGGACATTAGGACGGGTCCTGAGGAGTCGGGGGGGACGGGGAGACTCCGATAAAGGGAATGCGGGAGTGATTTGGGGGTCCTGAGGGGAATTCGGGAAGTCTGGGGGGTCCCATGGTGGGGTACCGGTCGCGGTGCCGGGGGAATGGGGGGCCTGGGGGGGTTCTGGGGAAGGGAGACCCTCGGAATGGGGGGTCCTTAGTGTGTGGGGGCGTGCCAGGGTTGGGATTGGAGGTCAGTTTTGGGCTGGCATGTGTGATTTGGGTGTGCCAGGTGTGGGTTTTGGAGGGTCAGGTGTGTGTTGAGTGGCAGTTTTGACGGATCGCAGGTGTGATTTGGGTGTGTTAGGTGTGTGTATGGGGTTTCAGGTGAGTGTTTGGGAGGACAGTTTTGGGAGGTCTCCAGTGGGTTTTTTGGGTTCAGGTTTGTTTTGGGGGTCCAGGTGTATTTGGAGGGCCCGATGAGTTTTAGGCGGTTACATGTATTTTAGGGAGTCATGTGTTTAGGGAGCTTAGGGTATTTTGGAGCATCAGATGTGTTTTGTGGATTAATTTTGAGAGTTTGGGTGTATTTTGAGGAGTTAGGTATGTTTAAAGGGTTCAGGTATGATTTGGAGGATTGGCTGTGTTTTGGGGGGAGTTTTGTGGGTTCAGGTGCGTTTGGGGGGACAATTCTGGGGCGTCAGGTGTGTGTTTAGGGTGTCAGGTGTGGTTTTGGGGCTCAATTTTGGGGGATCCCGGGTTTTGGGAGAGGTTCACGTCTGATTCGGGGTGTCAGTTTCGGATGTGTGGGTTCCGGGCCCCCCGTCCTTTCGGAGGTCCCACCGTTGCCTCCCCGCAGGAGCCCCCCCGCCATGGATGACCTGAACCTGCACTTCAGGTTCCTGAACTGGCGCCGCCGGATCCGGGAGATCCGGGAGGTGCGGGAGGGCCGAGACCGGGACCGGGATCGGGGCCTCCGCTGCCAGGAACGCGCCCGACACATCCTGGTGGACGGGGACACCCTCAGGTACCCTGGGGGGGGCCGGGGGCAACGGCAAAAGGCGGCTGGGGGGCTCCGGGAAGCGCGTGAGGGGATGGAGGAGGCCTGGGGGTACATGGAGGTGGCTGGGGGGGCGGGCAAGGAGGTGGAGGAGGCATCCAGGAGGATAGGAGGGGCTGGGGGTTCCCGCTGGGGAGGGGGCTGGACCCACGGAGAGGGGGCTAGGGGTGCCCACGGGATCTGGAAGCACCCACAGATCTGGGAGGGGGCTGGGTCTGGGGGTGTCTCAGCCCCCCCCGCCCCCCGCAGCTACCGCGGCCCCTCGGGCGAGGTCGGCTGTTACGTGGCCCCGCGGCCGCTGACCCGCGACAGCAACTACTTCGAGGTGAGCCTGGGGGTCCGGGGGGCGCGGGCTGTCCCGGGGGGGGTCCAGAGCCCTGACCCCACCGCCCCGTGCCCAGGTGTCCATCGTGGACAGCGGGGTCCGCGGCACCATCGCCGTGGGGCTGGTCCCGCACTGCCACAGCCTCGAGCACCCCCCGGGATGGGGGCCCGGCTCTGTCGCCTACCACGCCGATGATGGAAAGTGAGTGTCAGGATAGCGGGGGGCGGGGCCAGGATGGCGGGGATTGTTGGGATAGTGGGGAATGTCGCGATAGCAGGGAGGTGTTGGGATAATTGCGAGTCTTGAGATATTAAAGAATTTCATGATATTGGGAGATGTCATGATATTGGACAGTGAGATGAAGGATGAGATGCTTTGGGATATCGGGGTGCCGGAATAGTAGGGGGATGTCAGGATATTGAGGGTTTGGGACCTTGGGCATGTCGGGGTACTGGGGGGAGCCGTGGGGGCAGCAGGACTGGGAGGTGCTGGGGGCACTGGGGCCTGTCACGATATTTGGGGTCTGCTCCAGGTTTGGGGTCCCGTGTTACTGACACCCTTTCTCCCATTCTGAACCTCCCATTTTCGGGGTGCCCCCCATTTTTGGTGTGCTCCAGGCTCTACAGTGGCCGGGCCAAGGGGCGCCAGTTTGGCTCCAAGTGCAGTTCTGGGGACCGGATCGGCTGCGGCGTTGAGAGGGGCTCGTTCGGGGCCCCCCCAGCCCAGGTTTTCTTCACCAAGAATGGCCAGAGGGTGAGGGGACCCCCATCCTGCCCCAGAGCACCCTCAAAATTCACCTGGGCACCCCTAAACCTCCCAGAATCCCCCAAACAGGGCATCCTTTTGCCCCCTTCCCCAGCTACTCTTCACAAAGAATGGACAGGAGATGGGGGAACCTCCAAATCTTCTGAAACCCCAAAGCCTCCAGAGCTCCCCACTTCCCAGTTTGGTGTTTCCCTGAATCCCAGATGGGGGGACCTGGGGGGTGCCCTTGTTCCCGAGTCCCCTGCACCCCCTGACTCCCCTTAATTGCAGGTGGGGGGTCTGGGGGTGCCACTGTCGCCCCCGGGGCTGTTCCCAGCCGTGGGGCTGCACTCACTGGGGGAGGAGGTTCGGCTGCATCTGCCGCCACCCGGGCCCCCCGAGGACGAGGGGGGTGCGATGCTGGTGGACAGCCTGGAGGAGGAGTGGGGGAGGCTCCATGACGTGCGGCTCTGTGGCTCCGTGAGCACCCGGAAACTCGGGGGTTTCGGGGGGGTCAGGGGGCCGGGAGAGGGAAAAAGTGGGGCTGGAGCCTCTCCCAGGACTGGGGATGGCCCAGGGAAGTGAGAAGGGAGCTCAGAATGAGGACTGAGGGGGGGAGTCTGTTGGAAGAGGTTGGACCCCCTCCCTGGCCGCAGAGGTCAGAAATTTATGAAAATTTATGGGGTGGGGAAAATTTGGGCCTGGGAGTTCGAGTAAGAACAGTTTTGGGGAGGGGACAAGAGGTGTCCCCAGTCCTGGGGAGGGTGAAATGGGGGGCCATGACAGGGGGGCAGGGTAAAGGAGGTCACAGCAGTGACATTGGGACTCGGGGGGTTCTTGGGTGCCCCTGAAATCCCCTGTGCGTGCCCCCCCGACCCTCTGTGACCCCCCCTCAGCCTTTGTGATCCCCCAGATTCCCCCGGGACCCCCTAAACCCACCCAGGTGTTGTTATTAGGTAGAGATGGGGATGAATTTCACGGATCTGGGGCTGGTCCGGATTGGGAGGTGCCCCTTTTTCCCCCGTCTGAGCCCACTCCGCGCCCCGCCCAGGTGTTGGAATACGTGGGGAAAGGGAAGAGCATAGTGGATGTGGGGCTGGCCCAGACCCGGCGGCCGCTCAGTCCCCGCAGCCACTACTTCGAGCTGGAGATCCTGGACCCGGGCGAGAAGTGCTACATCGCCTTGGGCGTGGCCAGGAAGGTGCGCGGGGGGCTCGGAATTGGAGTCGGGGGGCTGGGGTGGGTGGAGATAAGTACGGAGCTGGGAGGGGCAGGGAAGTGGGGTGGTGGTCCGGGGGCTTACAGGGGGAGTAAAGAGTGGATGGAGCCTCCTTCAGGGTTGAGAGTGGCCAATGAAGGTGGGGAGGGGGCTCAGATTTGGGGGAGTGGGTTTGGGGGGAGGGGGCTAGACCTCTCCACCGGTTCGGGGCTGGATGGAAAGATGGGGAGGTGTCAAAAATGAGAGTTTGGGGGGAAAAATTTGGGCTGACAGGGTTGGGGTGGCTGGGCCCCCCACATTGCCCTCATCTCCCTCCCCTGTGCCCCCCCAGGATTACCCCAAAAATCGTCACCCCGGCTGGAGCAGGGGCTCGGTGGCCTATCATGCGGGTGAGCCCCCCCAAAAGTGGGGGAGACCCCCAAAATGGGCGGGACCCCCCCCAACGCAGGACCCCAATAGTGGGACCTCCTACTCTTTCTCCCCCTGAAAGCCCCTTTCCCATTTTTACCCCCTATTTTGGGTTGCAGCCCTATAATGAGGGCCTGGGGATCTCCCCCATGACCTTGGGGGTCCCCCTTAACTTGAGGGATCCCCATGACCCCTCCCTCTTCCCTTCTCCTTTCCTCCATTTTTTTTCCTTCATTCTCTTCCTTTCCCAACCCAGTTTCCTCCTTGTTTTTTGGGGTGCACTCCCACTGAGAGTCTGAGGGGTGGCTTCCAGCCCCTTGGGGGGGTCCCCATGGCTTCTCCCTTTTCCCCCCTTTTCCCTCCTTTCTCCCCCGTTGCCCTTTCATGCCCTTTGTTCTCTTCTTCCTTCCACTTTCCTCAGGCCTATTTCCCTCCTTTTTTTGGGGTGCACTTCCATGGGAGGGGTCCCCCTCATGACCTGAGGAGTCCCTCCTGATTTGAGGGTCCCTTTGTGCACCCCTCCATCCCCAGTTGTTGCCTTCTCCGTTTTCCCCTCCTCCTTCTCTACCTGTAACCCCTTTCTTTGCCCCTTTCTCTTCCTTTTTTTGGGGTGCACCGCCGTGGAGGGTTTCTGGGGGTTTCCCCCATGAACTGGGGGATCCTCCTAATTCGGGGTCTCCCCCCAGATGACGGAAAGCTGTTCCATGGCAGCGGGGTGGGGGATCCCTTTGGCCCCCGCTGCTACAAGGGCGACGTGATGGGCTGTGGGATCATGTTCCCTCGGGATTATGGCCGGGACAGCGAAGGTATCGTGGGGCTGGGATCCCTAAAGTCTGGGCGGGCCCTGGGGGGGGTCCCTCACCCTTTTCCCTGTCCCAGGTGACAGTGATGATGCCTCAGAGCCCCCTGAGGTGAAGGTGAAGGTGCGCAATGTGATGTACCTGGAGGAGGAGGAGGAGGAAGAGGAAGAGGAGGAGGAAGAAGAGGATGGGGAGGACATGGAGCAGGAAGGCAGGAAAGTCGTGGTAAGGTTGGGGACACCTCGCCAGAAAAAAAAACGGTACCCTGAAAAACTCCTCCACCCCAAAATTCTTCTTTGTCCTCCACTGGGATCCTTTTGAATCAGTCTGGGGGCTCCAGCAGCTGGATTTTGGGAGGTTGGGGGATATCCTGCCCCCACTCACATTTTAGGATGAACCCCCGTTTGTCTATGATCCCCACATGTATTTGTGCCCCACCCCTGGACCCTCCATCACCCCAAAATCTTCCCCACAACCCCCACTGGCTTCTATTTACCGTGACTCACCGCTTTGCCCCCACTTTTGTGGAGATTGGCTTCTCCCCGCCCTCCCCTTATAGTTTGGGTTGACCCCCAGCATGTCTTTGTGCACCCTCAAAAACTCTCCCCAAAATTCCCCCTTCACCCCACTTTTGTCTCATCTTTCCTTGCCTTATTCCCCCCTGTACCCCTGTTTTTTTGGGGGTGATGGGGTTTCCCTGGCCTCCTCCCAATATAGGGGTGACCCTCCCGATTTGTGCCCCCCCAGGTGTTCTTCACGCGGAACGGGACAGTCGTGGGGCGTAGGGAGGTTGGGGTCCCCCCTGGGGGTCTCTTCCCCACTGTGGGGATGCTCAGCACTGGCGAGAGGGTCAAGGTGGACCTGCACCCCCTGAGCGGATAAAGGGGGGGCCAGCGTGGGACTCCCAAAACCTGAAACCCTCTGGTGCTCCCGGACCCACCCTGGGCTCTCCCAGTGCACTTTAGGGTGTTTGCACAACAATGGAGACCCCCCCCAAGGTGGTATTTGGGGTTTTACTCCTGCCCCCCCCCATAATTTTGGGGACTCTTTGGGGGGGGGGGTCCCCTAAATTTAATCCCTCCATTGGCCCCTCAAAAGTACCCCAATGTTGCCCCCCAAGGTGGTTTTTGGGGGTCTCAACCATGGCCTCCACCATATTTTTGGGGGGCCCATTCCTGCCCCACCCCCATGTTTTTGGGGGACTCAATCCTGCCCCCCCCAGTTATCCCAATGACCGCTTCAGGTGGCTTTGGGGGGTCTCAGTCCTGTCCCTTCCACCACTGGTGAACCTTGTGCACCCCCCAGAACCCCCCAAATCACCCTTTTGACTCTCTCCAGTCACCCCAACCCCTTCCACTCCACTGAGTCTCCAGTGCCCCCCCCAGATCACACCTGTGCCCTGCCATCTCTTCCAGCGCCTCACATTCTTGGGGGGCTCCAGGGGGCAGAATTAGGGGTTCCCCCCATCATGAATGTAACCTGGCCCTTCCAATCCCGTGGGACCCCCCAGACCCCCAGTTCTTCGGTGGGGGCTGGGCTGGTTTTGGGGTCCCCTTTGATGTTTGCACATGGTGGGGTGTCCCCATGCCCCCCCTCATCAAATAAACCCATTTCTTACACCAAAATAAATGTGGATTTATTTGGGTTCTCCCAGGAACCCCCAGATAGCAGGGGTGTCCCTGTGCCCCCTTTTCTACCAGCCCCCCCTCTCTTGAGAGGGCAGTTCAGGGGGTGCAGTAGGTTTTGGGGGGCCTCCAAGAGGGGGTGGGAGGATCTGGAGAGTGTTTTTGAGAGGTTGGAGGAGGGGTCTTTCGGGGAGTTTGGGGAGAAATCCAGTAGGACTTTGGTGATGAAGATGGTGGTGAGGGCGATTATGGGCATCCCCTTGTGCTCTCCCCAAATCGGGGGTGTCGAGGAGAGTTTGGGAGGTCCAGGGATGGTTTTGGGGAAGCCTCGGGGGGGTTTGTGAGTGTTCAGGACCTTGGTGATGGTGCTGATTATGGCAGGGGGCTTGGTTATGTGTGTCCCTCTGTCCGCCCCTTGGAATGGTGGACTCGGGGGGTTTTGGGCATCCCCAGACATTTTTGGAGGTCCCAGGGGGTTCTGGGGGTCCCTCAAGGTTGTGTCCCCAGCAGGATCTTGGTGAAGATGTGGGGGGAGTCCCACTGGGTTTTGAGGGTGCCCCTGAGGACCCCTGCTTCGGGGGACTTTGGTAATCCCCAGATGGTTTCTGGGGTCCTGGGGAGGTCCCTGGGGTCTCTCAGTTCCGCGTTCCCAGCAGGACTTTGGTGACGAAGGTGACGATGGCCCCTGCCGGCTGCTCGGGGTCCAGCTCCGCAAACACGTGACATGCGTTGCCCCCCCCTGGTGCTCCTGCCTGCTTGGCCACAAACCCGAAAATCCTGGGGGGGCCAGCAGGGAGGAAGGGGCAAGGCCAGAGTCAGATCTGTGCCGCCCTCCTTTCTGGGGGATTCAGTTCTGGGGGTCTCCATGTACCTGGCTGTGGTCCCGTCGGGGTTCATCCACCTGGGGGGTTAAAGGCGTTGGGAGGTCTGGGAGGGTTTGGGTGATTGGGGGTCCCCCTGTGCCCCCCATGTGCCCTCCCCTCACCTGCGGTCCTGGGGGTCAGTGCTGCAGTGTGTGATGCTGCTCACAGGGTAGTGCCGGCGGAAAAAGAGCCTGGGGGCGATGGGCACAGGGTGAGGGGGAGGTTTGGCGGGGGGTGAGGGGGGGGGGGCAG